CCTCTCGCCATACCATAGGCAAGAGAAATCATGTTATGACGATTTTCATTTTCATTCCATTTCATAAATAAGGCCTGATACTTTAATGTCTACTACTTTATTAAATATTATATTAATACGTGTATCCAATAATCTTAACATTATCAGTCCCTAGATTTCACTTAATCCTTTTTCCATTTAAACAACTCGACGCCAATAAAATCACTTAAACAGGTGATATACTAGATACTTCTCAATAAAAAAAGGCAGCAAACATCCCAATTAAGCCCCAATCTCCACCACCAACCCTCAAACTCCATATAAATCGGAGGCCACCCCTCTTGCTTTCGTAATGAGTATATTACCATACAAATAGAACGACCGGGCCCAACCGTATGATTGGGTCCAGCATCCCGCTGGCTCAAAACTCTTTGAATACGCCGAATGGACGGACAAATGAACCGCAATATATGTGAATGTTGGCCCCAATGATTGCTTCACAAATATTGGCTGTTGGTTATTAAATGTGACCTTATTTGTTTATTGTGAGCTAGCTTCAAATTTTGGTTTTGCTTATAGTTTAGCAGACTTTTATAAGAAATTGATATTATTGTTTACAATATAGTACAATAAGGGGAGTCAAGGAAGAAAGCATTAAGCTAAAGAATAGCCATGGAGCGTTTTTCTTTTTTTTATCACAACGTAAATAAAACAATTCTTTTTCTTTTATTCATTTTTATACCTTTAGATTAAGCTTTATTTATGTATTAGGTATCAAAACCAATGCAGTAGTTTCAAAGATTGTTCGATACAAACAAATAGACGTAAAAAAATCTTCTGTACCTATATTGCTGGTGTACATATAGATTGGAGATTGATATCTTTGTATGTAATTGTAAAAAAATGTTATTAGTTCTAAGTACGGATGTACCTACTACTGTGTGCTCAGTCGATTGGTATCAATACACTGAATGAATATAGTTCTGCTACGTATAATTAGGTTTTTTAAAACCTTCGATTGATTTGAATGTAATATGGCGACTTTTATTTTATGTTTGACTAGAAGCCCCTTCTTTACTTCGAAAAGGTGTCCAAGAACATCGGTGTCTGTCTTTTGTTTACTGCCACAGCATCGAAAATTCAATTGTTATAATTATGTACTTTTCTTAATGTTATATGAATAAGAATTGGCAAAATTGGTTCCAGCGTTGTTATGCGCTGAACTATTTTATAATTATGTTTTATTAATTATATATATGCGCTGGTTATGCGAATATTAGAAAATGACAAAAAAATATCTTGTAATACAAATTATGCCTCTTTTTAGGTCATTCTAGTGTTCGTACTGTTAACGAGTTAAAAAGATTTTGCTGCCTGTCAAAGGCTCTTTTTTACACGGAGAAGGTTTGGCCTTTAATCATCATGATTGCTCGTATTAGTAATTTGGAACTTTTTACACGCAGAATGGTGGCATTTAATCACCATGCTTGCTCAAAGCGTATTGGTAATTTGGAACTTATAATTAAAAATTATAAGTCCAGGTTTACTTCTAATGTTTTTTGTCACCGTTTAATGGTGATATCTCAATATAAAATCCCATTGGTACTTGCCATGTTTTGAACGTGCAACCTCATGAATAAGAAGCAAAAGCCACAACCTGCGAGCTACCACGAACTGTTTAAAAATACTTGAATAAACTGGTTGCAATTTCAGCTTTCGGGTTCTCATCTAATGGCTGATGAGCATAGACTTGTTTGATTAATAAACTTAAATGTTAATAATGTATTTGCTTTCATTATATAGGTACCTATAACACAAGTAAATATTGTCTTCATGTTTTACTTTTCGATACAAAACCTTCTTTTAATTTTTTTTTATGGTATAAGTCGGCAAACGAGCAGATGGATTAGCTGATGGCAGGCAATCGGCGCCGCCCATGGACACCCGCAACACCAAAGAAGTTACGAGTGCGTTGCCGACCTTTTGGGGATTGGGGTTGCGGATATAAGGATCTGGAAGGGATAGGGGAACGGAAGGGATTAGGCCTCCGGTAACCTCACTCACACGGCGAAACACAACGCTGTGGGTTGTTTCACGCCGGTATTCTGTGAGGCCGTGGTATCACTTTGGTCGAGCCGACCCATTCGTGCCGAAGCTTGGCTCTCCCACACTTAAAACACTTACAAAAAATAGATTTTTGATCATTACAAACATATATACAAAGAAAGCACAGCTCTTTAAACCTATTTGCTGAAGTGGCAATGGGTAGGATACAGCGCTCGAAGAATAGAATAACGATGGACCAGAAAAGTGTTAAGTCGGAGTCGCGGGGAGGTAAAGGAAGCAAATGTAAAGTGGGGGCTTAAATGGCCATTGTCCAGCAGAGAACGTCTTTTGGCTGATGATCAATATAGAAAATCCAGTAACAATCCATTAATTCTCGAGCCACAACAAAAAATAAAAAAAGCATTCGTCCAAATTACATATATTTACAAACAATAAATTACATTACGAAATCAAGGACCAACAACGAACAATAAATAATAGCTAATCAAATGTTGCAATTACCCGTATTTCTATTAACACAACCATAAATAGGGTCCAACAAGCTTACAGATTGAAGTAAACCCTGCTGCTGCCTGCAGCGGTTCCGTAGCTAACTAGAATTTATAGCTAAAGGACAAATGGGTAAAGTATTGCTGACAATTGTATTTGATTGTGTAAGGGTTACCTTACTTAGAGGTTTGGAAATAACCTGTGAAAGGATGTGTTTTAAGTTTTATAGTCTTGGCTACTGTTAAATCACTACATTGTATAAAACAAAGTCGCTTTCTCTGTCCCTATATGCTTATGTACCTATGCTTAAATCTTTAAGACTTTGACGCTGCGGATTTGGATGTGGTTTTTTAATATGTAGATAGAGTGATTGAAAAGGAACGTTTATATGTATAATCATCCATTAAATAGTGGAGTAGTATCACTATTGCATCCGTGCGAAGCCAGTTCGGTAGTTAATAATACATTACACCTAAATGCATATATTATAATATATAGTAAAAGTAAGTGCTTTTACATACAATGTATAGCAGCCCCGGCCCGGACAAGAAAAAGGAACGCAGTGGTTTTTAGTCAGTCTGGCACCCCCTTTTACCCCGCTGATGGCGGGAAAGTTAGATCTAGGTATTATAATACTTACCTGAAAGTAAGGACGACTATATAGGTTATATAGACTAATTACCTGGTTAATGATAATGACTTCCTATTTAGACATTGCTACCATTTTGAGAAACCTCTGTAGTTTGCCAAGAACTTAAACTCATATTTAAATTTCTGTATTCATAATTTTGGATGTACTTAAAAGAGATTACACACTAACGAAAAAATCTACTTAAAAATTTTGAAGCGAGTTTTTCTTAATCAAGATAAATTGACGTTTGTTACAGGGTAAAAAACATGTAACAGACAGTAGTTCCTAAAAATAAAAATTTAAGGGTTTCTTTCTACGGAAAAAGCTGATCCGAAAAAAAAGACTAAATTCGCAGTAAATAATGTTTTAATTATTAAGAAAGTAGTCTTTCTTTAAATTATTAAGTACATCCTTTTTTGTCCTACCTAACTGAATTATATCTGTGCTTGTTGCCTTGCTGAGTTTGTATAAATATGCTTTTCCAGAACACTATTTTGTAATTAATTGACGATAGACAACCCTATTGACTTTTGAGTTCGTATTTCTATTCCATTGGTTGTCGAACTTGATTTAGCTAGGGTGCCCACGCTATCTCAATTTATGTTGCTAAATTAAAATAAACGGATAGCAAATTTCTTACTAGTACTTAATTGTGAATGGAAACATTATTTACTGTTAATTAGATAAGTATTCGGTGTATAATTAAATAAATATTTCAGATACGTATTTACTTAAGGAAATACCAAGATAATATGGCTACTTAGTTATGTGTCCATTAAAATTGTCGTTAAATTTTAGTAGCAAATAAACAATAAAATAGGTTTAGTCCAACAGTATATTTAAATACATTATAATTTATCAATAACTAGATTCTAGGTCTTGAACTCGGCCCGATCGTTTGATTCGAAAAACAGCCTTGGTTTTAAATTCGATTTAAATATGTACACATATGTAACCTATATGTATACTTATTCATTAAAATGTATGCATTGTGAACTTTTAAAAAAAATATGACTTGTGAAACATTCCGTATCATTATTTATTTATATGTTTTTTTTTCTATTCTCATTAACCAGGAGGTCGCAGTCTTGTAACTTGCATTATGATAACTGCAATGACACCTAATTACATGCCGCCTTAATTATGTCACAACAAGAACCGCGCCCAATAAATAAAAATATGACAAAAAAAAACATAACACATTAAGAAAATTGCGTCAACCGGACTCTTTTGTAACCTTAAGCATTTGCACTTATCAATAAATGCAATTAGAACTCATTAGAACAAATTGATCGAGTTTGAAAAAATCGCGCAGTAATTGACGTCATTGAAGACTAAAAAGTCGCTCAGCTGCAATTGTAGCGCTTCGAGGGGCGTACAGGCCCCGCCTACGGAGGCGTAGGGAGGGCCGCACGAGTGCGACGGCCGAAGAGGACGGAGGACCAGTCGGCCTCACCACCGCGGAGTCACCGCGCGCCGCGCGCGACTGTCGCAAAAATTCGCGCAACTGACGCCGGCGGAGAACATACGCGCCTTAGTGGAACCTTGCGTTCTTATCTCATCCTAGTGCCTTCAGTGATTAGACTGTGACCATCATAATACCTGAATACACACATACAGATGCGAACAACCAAGAAAATTGTGACTCAACCTTTAGTGGCCAGTGACTTAATAGTGCAAAAAGTTTACAAACTCAACTAAAGAAAAAAGACAATTGAAATGAATTCCGAATTCGGGTTATCTGTCAAATTTTCCCGCGCGGCGTGATCGAAAATGTCAGTTATAAACAAAAGTATTATTCTGAATTTGTTTCGTGCCAAGGTAGCTGTGAAAAATGGACTTGACCACTCGTCGGGGGGACATGTTGGAAGGTGCTGGGGACGTGTTGTCTTTAAATGGGAATGGGACTGACCAGGTGTGCCGGGACTTAGTGAATGGAACGGAAAGCGGTTGTGACGTCAACACCGTGACGGCGGAAGTGACATCTAGGAAGACGAACTCGTTTAGCATCAGGAACCTCGTTGGGACGGGGGAGCCAGATAGGCCGTCTGATGGCGCGCCTAATCCAAGCGATGGTAAGTCCATTTTTTTCTTTTTGTGTATAGAAAAAAAGCATTAGTGATTAAAAAAAGTGCTTAGGCTCGGTGGTTACCAAAAAAAAACTTTACACAATGCGATTCTCGAGAACCGAAAATTATTTTTTAAGTTTATAACTTCTTAGTAAGTTTTGTGCAATCAATATTATTATTTGCGTTCATAAACAATTCATAGTATAAATAATAATAATGTGTAAAGATAAACGAAGGTTTATATATGCACGTTTTGAGTAACTATAACTTTTTATAATAAATTAGTAAATATTTTGTTCCTGGTTTGGAATAGTGAGGCCATCTTGTTATTTTATATACTTACATAGATAAGGATGACCTACATTTTAAACGCAACTTTGCTCTCCACAGTAAGTACCTTCATAAGTTCATACTTACGATAGATAAAAGATCTTAACTAAAAGATTTTGAGAGAAGTTAGCGCTATTTGAATTCAGAATTATTATTTTTTTCATTTTTTCTTACTTAAAATATGTGGCATAAACACAATTATGCATTATCCCCATTTACTACTACAAATATCTAACGGGAAAATATCATGTGAATGTTTGCAAAAAAATAATGGCATTCCTCTAACATTTTCAAGCATAAAAATCTTAATTAATTAATAAATCATAGTTGTAACATGTTATCACTTATGGCAACACACATTTTCTTTTAGAAACAATATTAAAATGTCATAAAATGGATTTATGTGGGAAGTTATGTGAAATAAAACGAATAATTATTCTTTTATGGTATCGGTTTATGGCTGTATTCTTATGGGATGTTGGCTTGACAATACATGAGGTTTTCATCGTGGCCATGTTTCTCCAAGTCGCATCAGCAACCAGGTCTAGGATGGTACCTACATGAGAATTGAGAACCTATTACATATTCTGTTAATGGTTTTTTTTGTGTACTTCCGACCACTGGCACTGCTGGCACATATTGATAATTTTTTTTTACTTATTTCTTTTCTCCTTTGCTTTGTTATCAAAAGGAGTTCACTATACCCTTTAATAAAATTAAATTTCTAATTGGGCATTCATTTATTCTTTATAAAATTATTAAAATTATATATATATATACTTAGTCGGGTCATAAGTTCTGTCAAAACCTTATATTTTTAATTTTCGATTACTGGCCAGAAACCCTTCGACTTATTTTAAAAATAGAACTTTCGCGCTTGTAGAAAATAAAAAAGAAATTATTTTTTATTCATTTTTAAATATGGAGTGGTCGAATAAAGAAGACAGAATCGCGGTTATCGCGTTGCACCGCTGTGGTTACGCGCCAAAAGACATTTTCAATATTCTTCAAAATTTGAAAATAACGTTACGGTTTGTTTATCGTACTATCAAACGATACACCGAAGAGTCAAGCTTCGAAGATCGTAAGAGAAGCGGCCGACCTCGCACAGTTCGGACACATAAGGTCATCAAAGCAGTGAAGGCGCGAATCGAACGAAATCCCGTACGTAAACAAAAAATCCTAGCTCTGCAGATGGGGCTAAGCAGAACCACTGTTAAAAGAGTACTAAATGAAGACCTGGGACTACGAGCTTATCGTAAAAAGACAGGACATTTTTTGAACGAGCGTTTAAAAAAAATTAGGCTAGACAGATCCCGCGCTTTGCTACGACGGTACGCGGGAAAAAAATACCGCGAAATTCTTTTTTCGGATGAAAAAATTTTTACTATTGAAGAAAGTTTTAACAAACAAAATGATAAGGTGTATGCCCACAGCAGTGAAGAAGCAAGCGCGCGTATTGCGAGGGTCCAGCGTGGGCATTACCCTTCCTCATTCATGGTTTGGCTTGGAGTCTCATATTCAGGCGTAACTGAGGTGTTTTTCTGTGAAAAAGGTGTGAGAACTAGTGCCGAAGTTTATCAAAATACTGTCCTAACAAACATAGTGGAACCTCTTTCTCAGACAATGTTCAGGAACAGGCATTGGATATTCCAACAGGACTCTGCACCGGCTCATAAGGCACGAAGTACGCAAGACTGGTTGATCGCTCGTGGAATTGACTTCATCCGGCATGAAGACTGGCCCTCTTCTAGTCCAGATTTAAACCCACTGGACTACAAGATATGGCAATATTTGGAGGAAAAAGTCTGTGCTAAACCTCACCCGAATTTGGAGTCTCTCCGAGCATCTCTGGTTAAAGCAGCGGCAGACATAGATATGAATGTGGTGCGTGCAGCGATCGATGACTGGCCGCGTAGATTAAGGGCATGTGTTCAAAATGGGGGAGGGCATTTCGAATAATGTAAATAAAATTATATTGTACATTTAATGACCTTTCATTTCATATATAATTTTTAAATAATTGTCAAAAGGCGTATAAGTTATTACATCAAAAGTTTGTGACAGAACTTATGACCCGACTAAGTATATATATAAAAGTCTTTTTTCTCGCATATTTGTTGAACTATAAGAATTTTTTTACGCAGTACAAAATTCATCCTTGTCGAATACGACACTTCTGAAAATATAAACTAGCAGACACACTAATTAATTTAGTTGGAAATTGAAAATTGCAATTCAATTTTTTTTCTAATTAATTTCTTTTAATTTTTTTTGCTTGTACACCGTCAATGTTACCGACTGTACTTGCATAAAAGATAGTTTCTAATATTGAATTACGCGTTCCCACTTAGAAGTCGCGCCACGCCCAGTAATGCAATAATTGTAAATGTTATTTACGACCTTGTTACTTAATAATTTATAGAAACTAACAAGACAAGATCTTTTACTGTACTACTTGCAGTACTAGGTAACTTTTTTATGAAATAGGTCGGCAAACGAGTGGGTTACTTGGTTGTGGGTAATAGGCGCCGCCCAGGGACACTTGTAATACCAAAGGAGTTAATACAAGTGCGTTGCCGGCTTTTTGTGGGTATTGATTAAAGGATAGAGGATTTGGGGATTGAGAATGGGAGGGATTGCGACCCTGGTAACCTCAAATTGAGAAATACAAAGTGAGGCCGTGGTATCATGCCGAAGCACGGCTATCCCACAGTTGGCATACTTGAAATTGTATTATTTGATCATCCTTTCTATTTTTTTTTAAACCGGCAAATGGCTTTACCTTTTTTCTCCATAATTATGTTGCCAAAGATAAGTAGTTTTTAATATTTCAATAAACTAATTGATTTTGACTAGTTGTAAACTATCATATTATTATAAAAAGTTTACACAACCAAGCGTTTTTTCTTGTTTTGTTTTTTTTTTAAATAGGAACAGTTTAGTTACTAAGGGCATTTATTTTTCGGAAAACTGTGAAAATGTTTAATCATTTTTGGCAGTGAAAGTTGCAAACTGCATTTAATTTATGTTATCATTTTTTTTAATATATAATTGGTGCATAAAACCAATGATTAAAGACCTTTCAGTTTATACAAATATCAATATAGGTATGTTTGTTCTTTAGGTATTTTAACTTGAATATGACTTATAAACATTCCTAGACCCCGCATTAAAGTAAATTTCAAATGTTGCTTATCTAGACAGACATGTCTGTTTAACTTTGAATAATTATATTCTATGGGTAGATTAATTACAATAGGTCTAGAATAACAGCTGCATTCTAACCGAAGCAGTCAAAAGTCCAACAAAGGGGAATTCACACAATTTGAAATAAATATAAACTTTATATTTCCTTATTAAAACTGCGCAAAACAACATAAACAATTACTATAATGAATAGAATAGAATTGAACAATAATAGTACAGAAATCAATTATTTTAATTACATATTTGCATGTTTTCCTAAGGTAATGGCTAAGAAAAACTCACTTTACGATCGTTTTATATTGACATTGCTATCATAAAATCATGTTGGATGACTGATGACATCATTTGAGGTCATTGTTGATGATTTTATTGTGTTTTATGGTCACAACATTGATTATAAACATACAAAGTACGAAACAATTAGCTGGCAACATACTGAGCGTGGACTACAGAACATTATTCCATTTTCAATTAGGTACAATGATTGATTTATAGCAAATTACAAATTATAATAGCATTTTATATTTATTTTATTATAATTTATTATGTCTGAAGGTTTATTAAGTACCTAATAGGCCTTGATTTCCATATCAGTATGTTTATGCGATGTTTTTGCAATAAATCGATAAAGAATAAGCTAGTATTTTTATTAAGTTCAAGTTCTTACTAGCATTGGGTTGGCTAATTGACTTAGATTTAGGGTAGATAATATAAATAAGTAGGTAACATTAAACGATACGGCTTTATTGCATTTTCTTTTTCTATTAAGTAATCGTATACATTTTATTTACTTATAGTGGATAGTGTGCAGTCTGTCCCGATAATTTTCATTTACTTACACATACATGTATTATGCTAATTCAAACCGTCTTGCATTCGATTAAATGTTAAGTTACAAACTTACCTTTCGAAGTAATTCTGACTAACAACTACACGATAACTTTGTAATAAAGATAAAGTGCAATATTTAAATAAAGCTACTATATTAAGGATAAAAGGAAAGAGACCTTCTTGAAAAGAAAAATCATGAAACAACTTCACCAGGCCGAGAGGGGGAGTATTCAATTTTGACTTATTAAAAAATCACCCGTTGCATCTCTTTCTTTAAGCCGAACGTGGCATGTTATTTATCAACCCCTAACAAGTAAGAAGGAAACCTTTTTTGTGGGGGGTAGTGATCAATGTATTCTCCCATTCTGTGTGCGCGAAAGGGGAGTAGAGAGCAACCCTGGCAAAGAAGGACATTATACGCAGCAAATAATTGATAGATAGATAGATAGACACATTTATTCAGCACAAACAATAACAGACACAAATAAATTGACAAATAAGTGGTTACACAATACGAAATAAAATCAAACAAAAAAATATATGTATTAGATGGATAGTACGAAAGAAAGAACAAATAAAGAGCAAACGGAAAAAAAATTGTCTCAAAAACACAGCGTAAGTTAAGTATATTTCCCGAGCGTACGGCGCGTAGCGTTCCGCGCGCACCTCAATGAGCCAATAGACCACCACAGACGGGATCCTAAAGGGCTGATGTTCAGCCGGGGGGTTGCGTGGCAAGCGCAATTAGCAGAGCAAAAGGAACGGGGTGTTTTTAGTCAGTAAGCGTCTGACACTCTCTCTCGCCTTACCCTGGGTGGGAGATGATAATTTTCTCCTGACAAAAAAGCTAAGTACCTATATTTTTGTTTCAAATAATTGGAAATACAAGAAGGTTTATTAAACTGTTCAATAAATGCAATTAGAATAATATTTTACGACATATACTTTATAAGCCATAATAAAGAAACCACTTAATTTAATAATTTGCTCATGTCATTCGAGTCAGGGATTCGACCTCGTTACCACAAATACTTTGATTTGCGTTCATTGGTTTATTGATTTATAATGAACTGATATTTCTTAGCTAATGAGTATTTTGATTGGTTCTTACATTGATTTCTTTGTGTGTAACATATAATTTTATTATATAGTCAATTAATAGTTGGTTGGTTGGGTGACGACCTTAATAGTGTGATTGGAAATCGACGAAAAATATTGTTATGTAGATATTTTAATTTTTTTTAAACCCAAGAATTTCCTCAGTGTGTGTCACAATGTTTAGCTAATTATCTATTCGCCTCAGCTTTTCTTGTAATTAAAAAGTAGCCAAAGTCCTCCAATAATTTCAACAATTTAATAAAAAAAAACAAATTCCTCCTATGCTTCCAACAGGCAGGCCATATGTCTGAGCTGCGCTGATGGCTTACCATCAAAAGATCCGACTGCTGGATTACCTCCGATCACCATATAAAAAATCTAGCTAGGTATAGAATAAAACTGTAGGGACTATAGACAAACACAGTATGTAGGATAAAAAAATCTATTTATTAAACAAAAGGATACATTTATCTTTAATATAATTAAAAACAAAATGAATAAATAAATAACGTTTAATTATCCTTTCAATTGTTAGCGGTCAAATTTAGGTATATTTTCCTCTTTATTATTTTCTGATTAAATTTAATTATAATGCATTAGGAAAATTTGAAATATAAAGTGAATATACTTGTGTGTGCTTTCAAAACAAAAAAAAAACAATGTTTTCATGAACATATATGTGGGTTTATTGAAAATAAAGATTTGCTTACCTTAGATTTAAATATTTGGTTTAGTTTTTTTTTCAAAATAAATAAATCAAACACGTCTTACTCATCGAACGGTTAACGAACAAATCAAAAATACAATTCATAAATAGAACCGATTAGCAGTGAACTACCCTCGTACTGGTTCGTGACGTCACGTCCCCTTAACCACTCGTTTCCGGAAGTCGAGTCGACAGGTGAATTTGTAATCGATTCAACGATGTTGTTGTTCTGTGATAAACAATTGTTTGTGTTTAAATTAATTTCGATGTTGAAATTGCATCATTAATTAACCAGCATAAGGACTTGTACATGAGTTATTTATTAATGACTTTAACATTATCATCTGTTATTTCTTAACACGATAGATTGCCGATTATGTAGTCTTATTTTTCAAACCGCATGAGAACTTGCGTTTGTTGGTATAACGAATATTATTGCAGACCTAAACAGTAAATGGTGGGTTATGGAAATGCCCAAGTCCAACAGTGGACGGGACCAGTGTGATGATGGTGATGACAATGACAATGGAAGGATGTCGGTTAGTTTGTTGCTCAATAGCTCAAAAATAGCTGAACGAATTTAGGTAAGTATTCAGTTCAATTAAATTTTTTTTTTACCTAAACTAGGTACAATTTACAGTTGCTTCAGAAATATAGAGATATATTTTCATAAGGGAAACGGGAAAATACAAATATAGCTATGCAAATCAGGCGTAACGGGTTCCGCATATCCTTTTTTGGCTCTTAACTGTTTCGGATATCGGATAGGAAAATAATAAATACTTTCCTGTACAATTTGTTTTATAATTTTCCCCAATTAGTTATTTCTTTCCTCACTCTAAATAATGAGGACTGAGTATGATTAAAACAACCCAAAACTACACCACAGATTACTTGCAATTTATGGAAAAGCAGATCAGATTGCACGAGTCGTACGAATAACAAAATTAATCATCAGTGAGTCTGATATTGACTAAAACCCCTCCGTGTCTTATCCTGGTCCAGGCCGAGGCTGTGGTGCCTTATTGCGCTTAACTCACAATCTCGGCAGAACATCGGCTCTCATCTCTCAACGCTACACGCTAAAAGGTTGGAAACGTTATGTAGACTCTTTGGTGTTGCGGGTGTCCATTACCATTAGGTATCCCGTCAGATCGATAGAAGCTATAAAAAAAACTTTTATGCGCAAATGTATGCGTCTCCAAATATAGCAACGATAAAAGCACCAGGCTATAACTAGAGACGCCCTGTATAAAAACAAAATGGCGCCTCGTACTTATCAAATGAGGCTTGTCAATCGTGACAAAACTCTTTAGTTCTTAAGTCTGTAAGGACAATATCACGAATGAATACAACAAATGATTAAGATTGTATCAACACCATCGTGTGATAGATACGTAGACAATATCTTATTGTTTTTTGATGTTGTCAAAAGTGGTTTAAGACATTTATTTTCTCAAAAAGATTGTACAGAAATTCACTTAGGTACTGAGAAATATTTCTAAACTTAAAACTAATTACAGTGAGCACAAAAAACAATTAAAAACTGCAAAACATATCGGTAGTTGACAATAACCTGGCACTAGAAAAATTAAAAAGCAAAATCAATGGCGACCAGTGGCCGGTCCGATCGTATAGATGAGGTGACTTACACGGATGAATCAATAAAATTGAGTAGCTAACACATTTACTAGAAAGTGAAATGGAATAAGCCTAATAATATTCCGTATTGTATTACCTACTTAAGCAGGTAGGCTTTGAAGGAAATATTGGGAAAAGAAATTAATACTCAATATTTTTTAATGACTTAAATAGGGCTGATTTTTCAATGGGTACATACAAGTTACCTGGGGTGTAATTATGATGCTGTCTCGTCAGAATGTTAGACAGTGACAGCAAAAATTTTATTCCTCAGATAATATTTATCTGACTATTGCAAAATCAGCCCTTAGAGAGACACATTGCAAAATACTAATCTAAGTAATTGATGGAAAATTGTTAGCTTTTTTAAAGGAACGTTGAGTCACCTCAATTTGGATTTAACCCTGTGTCGTGCATGCGTTTACAATGTGGATGGATCACACAAAGAATCTAACCCGCAACGCGTTGCACAGCCAGCGCGCCAACCGTGCAGTCAAAAGTTCGTACTGCAGCTAAACAAAAAATACATCACCAAAAACTTAACCGCAAAAATTTAACCGCACGGTCGGTGTGGTGGCTGGGCAACGTGTCGCGGGTTCGATTCCCGGACGGAACAACTCTTTGTGTGATCCACAAATTGTTGTTCCGGATCTGGGTGTCATGTGTATGTGAAATTGTATGTTTTTAACTGCACCTACGACACAGGAAAAAATCCTAATGTTTTTATAAAAAACGAAAAAAACTTACATGCCCATAATTATCAATTTTCACCTCAACCATAGTACAGATAGTGAGCAGACAATAACCGCCATTTTCTTTTTAATAACCACTCACAAGACAATAGATCACAAGTCGCAGATGTTCCATAAAACTAGTTTTTCTTGTCCAACATTTTTTGCTGTATAGGTATTCAAGATATCGGTAATTCGGTTCGCCCGCTGAATATTAAATATCTTGCATTGTGGGCGACTGCTCCTTTCGTACAAGTTTTACAGCATTAATATCGATGCAATTAGGACTCATTACTCACTTTGATGTACCGGGGATCGTGTCTAATTGGCAGCGGGGGATCGATTGATCAGATGTGAGTACGTAGTTAGGTACCTACCTAAGTATGTGAGATGTGTTGTGTGTTTGAATTTGTTATTTAACGTCGAGTTTCAATTTCTTTTTTCGATCTTACGTACTTACTACGTTTGATTTTTTTTGTGAGGGGAAAATCATCAAATTACTTCTCCCGCCCAGGGCCGGGCGGGAGGAAGTTTCAGGCTCTTACTGACTAAAAACCCCCATGTCCCTTCTCCTGCTCTGGACCGAGGTCGCTGTGCCTCATTGCGCTTACCCCTACGTTTGTTAATGTTTCTATCTGTTTGTATACGTCTCGTGTCAAAATCTACCCCTATAAGTAAAGGGCAGTGTCAATAATCAAAATTTCTTCATTTATGATAAACTTAACTTAAGGGTTATTTAAATAGAAAAGATGCAAAAATAAATACGTTCGTAAACACAAAAAGAATTAAATCTTTTAAACTATATTCACTGGTTTCACACATTAGTTAGTTATTCTTACTTTATATAAGTTTAGTATTTCTTTACTTTTTCGATGATTCTGCTACAGAAGGTCTTCCATAACCGAAGTTCCGAGCTGATAAGTAAATGAAGTTGAGCGAAACAGACTTACAAAGGTGCCTTTTAAAACTACCGAAGTAAATATCTTCATTAATCTACTAATTAATGGTAATGATTACTTTTTAACATTGGCATCTTGCAGACGGCTCTATGAGGCACGTGTATGCCTGACTAATGATGACTTAAATAAGTTATTATTTTGTCAACAAACAGAGTACTTTATTGTGTACAAACAGTTTTTATTTGAATCCTTTATGGAAAGCCATTCGAGTGAATTAATTTGTAGATTTTTTATAATTTCATATGACTGCACGGTTGGCCCAGTGACTGGGCAACTGGCTGGTGAGTATCGAGTCACGAGTTGGTCCTGCTCGGAACATCACTTTGTGTGATTCCATAAATTGTTGTTCCGGGTGTAGGCAGCTTGTGTATGTTGATGTATATGTTTGTAAGCGCATCCACGATGCAAAAGAAAATCTTAGTGTTAGGGCAACGTTTTAAAAACAAAGAAAGAAAATGATATAAAATTATTCGGGCAAAGCTAAGACAAAAGCCTAGTTTTATTTGGTATATTGTAATATGTAAACAAACAAACGCGTCATAAAATTACAAACACTATCATAAAACTATACTCAAAACATCAAAAATATATTTAAACAGAATAGAACTTTATCCGAAACAAAATAATATTCAAAATGCATTGGAAAAATTAGACACTAGTATAGAGTACGTTTATAAGCTGCCGTCTACCTACATTCTTACATACACGGCTTGCAGGTGCGCAGGCGCAATCAATTAATGAGTATTTCGCTTGTACTTGGAACATGGGCTTTTTAGTTCCGTCATTTAATAATGTTTTGGTATGAAGTTATAAAAAGATGGCCGGTTTTTTATTTAAAATTGTTTGTAGCTTGACTATCTTGATAGGTGATTTTGAGTTCAGTTCCTGGATTAGGCAAGGTGTTTCAAAATATATTTTTTGTAGTATAGTGCCTCGTGGTCTTTGATTTACTTTTGAATGAAATAATCACGACCCGTTTTTCTGCGATTTCTAGAATTAAAAGAATTTTTTGTTTTGGATTTTGGTTTACCCACTATGCTGTATATATCTATGTACATTGAGGAAGAAGAAGTTAAGAATCATACTAACATTATAAATGCGAAAGTTTTTAAGAATTCTTAGACGTTTGTTACTCTCTCACGTGAAAAGTTATGAAAGAACTTCAGTGAATTTGCCACAGATATATTCAGATTATAGTCTGGAATAAAACCTAGGCTACTTCGGGTAGATCCAGTACTACGGTCAAAACCGAGAATCTAGTTGTGCATGTACCAATAGCTTAATACACTGGTACAGACGGCTGCAAATCAAGATACAACGTCCAATATAAACAGACCGTTCAATGTGCGCAAAAACTATTTATAGCGAGACCATGACAAACTGGTTTTCTACAACTTGATGGTTTCGTGTGTCCCTTTCGTTTTGCTGAATATTAATATTATCACGTAAATCATATAATAAAAAAGCGAAACAGATGTAACTATTCAAATGCAGGTAATAAATAATGATTGCATTTCACTGCAATTTCCTAACACCTTACAGCTACCATCATACCTACAATTAAAAAAATAAATTGCCTATTGGTACATTAGATGAGTAAGTGATCAATTTTACACTTTAGTAGCACCCGTATGTATGTAAGTGTGTAATAATAATTACAAATATAAAATTAAAATATGGATAAAAATTTAATGTTAATACTAGGCTTTTAATATCTTTATATAATATGTAGGTATGAAAAATAAAACTATGAAACCATTAGTATACGTATTTAGGTATGTATGTATATGACATATACATACCTAAACGTAATTCACACATCACATCATCAGCTTACAAGTGCCCAATGCCGAGCAAAGGCGTCTTCTCATACGGAGAAGGTTTGAGCATTAAATACTATGCTTGCTCATGGCGGATTGGCAATTTCAATCTTAGAAATAATTTGTCCAGTTATCCCGACGATGTTTTCCTTCAACGTATATCTGTGGTGTCTAAATAAACTGCGAAAGCACATTTAAGTATGATTCGGAAAAAGTAATTTACAAATTTAAAAAAAAACGTTTTCCCACACTATGATTTTCTCCTGTGTGCATTTACAAACATACCCGGACCAGAAAGGAACAACAATTTTTAGATCGAACCCGCGACACGTTGCGTGGCAGCCAGCCACCGCCGCGCCAACCGTGCAGTCAATTGGCCATGCATTGG